GTTGTAAAGCCTTTAGCAACAGGACCCCTAGTTTATGGAATAGTCTGCCAGCCTACGTACGGGATGCTGAGTCAATCTCAGAATTTAAATCCAGATTGAAAACCTATTACTTCAGCCTAGCCTACTCACACCTTTACATCATTGCAACTATAGCTGCTGGTGCTGCTGTACATGTCATTGTGTGTCTCAGTGTTGGCCTTCGAGGTAGATACATCTTTTCTGACCACACTATCCTATTCTCCTCCCCACATGTCCGGATGGTGTCTGAGCTGGGCACCATCTGAGTTGGATGCTGCATCACTGCCATGGATACAAGAGGGACATCGTGAATACAGCTGTCGTTTGGGAGGATTTGCTGGTCTACAGAGATCTGCATGGAGTACTGGCACACAGAAGGATATGATGGAAGACTTAATACTCCACATTTAGGACAATTTTTAGAATTGTATAATGTTAGCATGCCCAGAGAGGTTGGGCAGCCAGCTGACCTTGGACCCCTAGGGTTTTTTTTTCTCCTGACAGAGGAGGTTTTGGTTCTTCTCCTCTGTTGTCTTCTGGCTTCTTCTCTTTCTGTATTGTAATGTCATGTACTGTCACACAGCTTTGTTAAGTGCCTTGGGGCCAATCTTGTTGTGAAAGACGCTTTACAAAAATAAATTTTAATTGATTTGAATATAGTGAAACACTTCTTGTCTCTTTAGTACAGTGTGTATCTGCTAATGTTACATTTATTTCCATTATGGATTCCATGATTCCATCATTAATAATTGCATGTTAATATGAATGGTTTTATAGCAAGTGTTTTTTTTCTAAAACTCTTGACTTTTAGGTATGACCTTGTAATTACCTGGTCCTCTGTTTTATTTTTTAGTTGAAATGTTTCTGGATTATTTTTGTGGAACCTAGTGCCCATCTCATTAAGCTCTAATCTGTACTGATAGACATTACTATGGAAAGGTGTCCAGATGTCAAAAATGTTAGATTGTCACCTGCCTCAGCCAGGATCTTCTTGACTATATGGTCAATAGATAATATCTGACACATCAGCTCCTACGAAACAAATATTGTTGTTGTCCATGATCCATGATACCCGTCGAGGGTTTTGAATAATGGAGTCTCCAATAACCATCACTTCTCTTTTTTGCATTTTTAGTTATACTGCCAGTAACTAATTTTGAGACCAATGTCTGCATTTCAGGATCAGAGGTAATTGTGTCCTGGGAGCTGTTGCTATTAGCTGCCATATCTTGGTTGTCTGTTTCCAGGTCCTGGACTGGAGCACATCTGTTTCGAAGATGTGCTTTTGAGCAGTATTGTTAGCATTCAATTATATTGACAAGCATACTGAGAGGTTTCTCTCAGTTGCTCCACATTGTTTTATTTTTTGACAATTCAGGGTGGACACCATCCTGAATGTTGGGTTTATCCATTCTTCAGTTTCACTCTCCAATGCATTAACTTTTTAAAGCAAGACCTAGATTTTCAGGCAGTTAACACAGATGCAGTCTGGTTGTTGGAGTTCCTCCAAGATGCTCCACGTTTTTAATAAGCTGCAGATGACATTTAGAGGCTTAAAGGCATTTTATTGGAAATATTAAATGCATAGTAGAAGCACAGATCTTTTTTGGTGATGAAGAAACACCACAACTCTTTTTCTACGTCTGCCTAATTGCATTCAGCCTTCCTGTCTGCAATTACACCTTTTCAGCTCTGCCTGCATACTAGTCACTAATGTCCTTAAAACTGTCTGACTTGTACACACACTACAACATTAAAAACGTACCATGCAATTTCAATTGTTTCTTTGAAAACAGCAATAAACTGCTGAACACAGTAACTTACTGGCAAGGATGTTTTTACCCAATAGAGAGTGGTCTTCATTTGGCATTATAATTCTCCCTCTACCTAAGGTTATTGGTAATTATTTTAGGGTAATTTCTTAGTTTCTTGGCAGTTCTCCTACTACCTTTACATTTCTTTAATGCTAGCTTAATTTAAGAAGTTAGACCAAGACTGTAATGTATCAGACTGAATTATGAGTTAGGTGGTTAAATTACTCAGGAAACAGCAAATGAAAAATACTGAACAGAAATGCTTGGAATTTTACAGTAATGAATAACGTCCAAAAGTTTAAAAATATGCCTTCTCATTTTGTGACATTGGAGTTATTTATTTTTTTATTAAATATTTTAATGCTGAAGTGCTGTTCACTACTTTGGTGAAGTGTTGCTAGTTTGGGTTACCATTCATGTTAGACAAATAGTGATATTTATTTATTAACTCTTTGTAGTACATTATGTGTCTGACAGTTTGCTCTATTAATCTAAAACATTTTTTTTAATAAAACAGTTTTACAATTTGTGACTGTATGGAAAAGTCTCTCCCAAAAACAATTGTAATGTTTATATGAACTTATAATAAGCAAACCTGGTCTTCCAAGCATCACTTTCATGTATTATATTATTATTATATTATAATTCCTCACTCTTAATATAACTTTGTTAGCTGATTCAATGCTGATCGCAGGCATTCACATGTACAGTATGTTTCAAAAAATGAAAGTTTGCATATTGGTATTTTTTACAGAACGTTACTGATAATGCTAGCATTTCAATAATTCAATAATTCAAGATCAAAGATCAAGATCAAAAGACAAAACTGGGTCACAAAGTATAAATTCATCATTAGTTTTTTTCTAACAAGGCACTAGTGCATTTTTATCTTGATCAAAGTTGAGCAATTGATACATTTGCACAAAAGACATGCATTTTGATATAATAACAGTATAATTAATTATATATAGTAATTTAAATAATTTTATAGTAATATAAAAAATAAAAATTGCAGATTTCAACACAAAACTTGGCCTTCCATTTCACTAATCTGAGTTTAACACTACTAGATTTTATTGGGATAGAAAGTTTACACAAAAACAAATTCAACAACAAATTACAAAAGATAACTAATCCTTCCCTCAATGCAGTGAGTTATTTATAAAAGATTACAGCTACTGCAAGATGTGCGAACAAGATGGAGACAGTATTTCATCAAGTAAGTTGTTTGGCAAAATAAAAGTGCTTGAAGAAACATTGATGAAATATAGAGAATGTAAAATATATATGTAAAAATACACTGTAAACAAATAAAGGTTTAAGCTCAAATCTGCACATGTGCATATTACCTTCAGATGTGAATTTAGAAATAAAAACTGTGTGTTATGAATAAGAGAATATGTAGGGCTAAGGGTATTCTTTTCAGTATGCATAATGTGTGTTTTTGTTATGGTTATTATAACAATAACAAATACCTGTACATTTCAGAGAAAACGTTGTTTTGGTAGCATAATTGCAATGCTCACCTGCAAACAACAGTCACTAATAGCTGAGACCTTTGTACCTTTGCATCTTCTTCACTTCTCTGCAACCTGATAGATATTACCTCTGTCTTCTGTGTCTTCACTCAAATTTCATCTCCCTCACAAAATGTAGATTGTCACTTTATGTTTTCACTGTTCCGCAAAACCAGTATTATCAAAGGGAGAATAAAACAGCACAATTTTCAACAGGTCCATCTTCCCCTGCCAACGCCACTCGTATACTTACAAGGTTTTCAATGTAGTTTCTCTTTTTTCAATTATAAAGTTATACTGTGGTATTTTACTGTTTGCTTTCTATCTATTAAGTATAACATTGGTCATTTCATTGGGTGGAATTCATTTTCTGAATGTTTGTTGACAATATCTGTGTAATTCTATCTTTTGCCTTTGTAAAATACAAAATGACTTCATGACTATTATAAATTAGTAATAAAACACCTCATGACGTCTGTCATCATAGGATGTAGTCATTTGTTGGTGTGGCTGGAGGGCACAAGGAACATAACGCAACCAAGGTGTGGCAATGTCTCACAATAACACACCCTGTTGCTAACATTTTCAATAACATACCATACAAATAACCAACACACAATCTTGTTTTTGCAACATCCATGTGAGTGCCTGCAGATATACAGTTTTTATTAAAAAAATGGATATACTGTAATGTTATTTGGAACAACTAAAATGTATGTTATGTCTTTAATGTTAGGTGAAGTGGAATTAAACTAATCTTTAGGCAAATATATCTATGATATGCCCACACTTTTTAAAACCAAAATACATGGTCCTTTCAGCTAATTAAAGGTGGCTTTTTCAGTGTGTCCTCAGGGAAAATAGGATCCATAGATGCATGAAGAACTTTAAATAACTATGTATAATTACTAAATAAGTCATGTCTTTAGAAAGATATTTACACTTTTTGTAAAAGAAAACTACAGGCATGCATGAAACAAATGAAAAGTTTTGAATAACATTTTACAGGCATTTTATTGGAAATGTAAGAATTGTGATAATGTATATTTTTGTAGATGTCTTACAGATGATACAAACGTTATTGAGATATCTCTTTCCTCGGTCTAGAACGATTGAGGTCGTATGTTCAAAAGTCTGTTGAGACGTTAGCTTGGCTTGTAAACGTAAACTACTGAATACAACTGAAATGTTGACCACCATATTTGCTTAAAATTTCCTTATGAAAAACATGGCCAATTCTACCAACAATGTCTATAATAAGCTGCATGAGCTTTAAGAGCTCATAAAAACGTATCTATATTGCTTATGTCATTAAACCCCTAGTTGTTAGCTGGGTGCGTTCTACTTGGTGTTCTTCCTCTTCCACAGCTAAAAGAGAACACTTGTTGAGTGACATCCAGCAACACCTACACATAGTCAAACGGACTGGGGCTAGTATAAAGGCATGTGCAAAGTTTAGGTTGGACAGTGCAGCTATTTCCAAGAAGCCGAGACGCCCGACTCCTTTCAGTAAGAAACGATGTGCCTTCCTCGAAGTTGACCCTCCAGAGCGCTACATCGGAACCCCAGCCCCGACCATAAAACTCGGGATCATCTCGTACTCTCTTATCTGAGCTCGATTAAGACTTCCTGTGTTAGAGAGTGGGGGAGCTGAACGGAGCCCAGCGCGCAGTCGCTCTGCGCATAATTATACTGGCATTTACAGAAACTGAGCAGTCGGAAGGAGAGCGAGTAAGCCAAGAGATTGTGAGTGAGTAAGTGTGTGTGAGAGAGAGGGAGAGAGCGGCTGAGAGAGAGAAGAGACATAAAGTGCAAGCGAGGGAGTGAGAGAGAGAGAGAAAGGGAGAGGAAGGAAAGGCCATACAGATACAACTACAAGAAACAAAAGTGTCTCCAACCGGACTAAACATCGCCAAATAACCACGCAGAATGGCCTCAGAGGAGCTCTACGAGGTACTGTAACCCTTTACTAGCGATACTTTGCGTATTTAAGCCCCCCGGCTCGTTTCAGTGTTTTAAGCGGCGGTCCTCCAGCTCGGTGGACGGAAATACATCTTAAAGGAGACGGTGAAGTGTTGCTATTGGCCTGCCACACTTTGACTGGGGGTAGACTCCCGAGTAAAGGGTTGACTTTGCGTTCATGTGGTAAGTGGGGGCTTAGCTTTGCTGTTTCGGGAGCTTTTTTTGGGGGGGGATGCTCGTAATTCAAGCGCTGCTTGGGATTCCCAAGATAAGTAGATCTGGAGATTTGACTATTTCTGATCTTTATTTTATGTAAACGGAAACAACCTTTGGAAGAGACCTACCTGTAACTAGCTAACTCGTTCAATCAGACCCCCCCCCCAGCAAAACAGTTTTGACTCTTGGTGACATAGCATTTTTTTTTTAGTTATTTGGTGGTCGTTTTGTTTTGCTTGTTGCTGACACTTTAGAAAATTCACTGCCCACATGCTGAAACTCGTGTTACCCCTTTAAAGGGGGGCTTCTTTTTACGATTTATGTTTTGATACAAAGTGATCTGGAAATGTGCACGAACACGTCGATTTGTGTGTGTGTGTGGCTTTTATGATTTATGAGCCCAAGTATCCGCTGTGCAAGGCAGTGGTGGTGATCATAGGAGAAAAGAGTTACTCAAAGATCGTTGACATACCATCACTTTAACAGAATCAATAAATGGTTAACGAAAACAACAAAAAAAAAACCCGATTGAATTGGGATAATAATGCTGGGAATGACCAAGATTGGAAGATTTAAATTGCTGGTTGTGTTGATCAAGTAAGAATGGACATGCTTTTTTTTGACATTTCTAAAACCAGTCCACCCGTGGTAGAAAATACGCTAAACACTCGTTTGTTTGGCTCTAAAGAAAGGGAGCAGCGCATCCTCAAAATGTACCCCCGTTTGGATATTACAGATCGATGAAGACGATAGTGCCCAAGCCGGTTTAGTTTGCATTTTTCTTGGTAGCTTTCTGGATTTTTTTTTTACCAAGTGGAATGCCTTGTGGATGATTTTTTTTTTTTCATGGCGCCATTACAATGGGAATCATCCCGAAATGCTGGTGATCCAACACGAGGAGTGAACTTCTCTCCCTTGACTCTTGGATGTACAGTAAGCGGAAAAGAAGGCGGACGCCCGAACTCGCACATCGGAAGATACTTGTGGGGGGAGGGAGGCGTTTGGAGTACAGCGCCGTATTTGACAAGGACCTTAGCACCAAGACCACCATTACGCTGTCAATTCAACTTTAGAGAACATTTGATTTCAGGGAATTGGGGTTTTGAAGGTCACCTCTGTCTAACAAGAGGGCATGTGAATGATTCTAGCACGTTTGGGATGATGGTGAATTCTGCCATGTGCGTGTTAAATACTGTATCATATTAACCATGGATTAATGTCCTGGATATTAACGATGTATGACGGGAAAGTATGTCATGCTTATTTGCTGGCGTTTTGGAATGTGCCAAGTTGTAGACTGACCTTCATTTTGCTTCGTGGATTTCTGAAACCCAGTTTCATGTAGGCTTCTGTGGTGGTGGAGGGAGGAACTAGAACGTGATGTCACACATTTGGTACATTTGAGATTGAGCTCTTTTGCCTTGTGTGTTGTAGTATGGGTTTGCAATGTTGAAGGCTGCTTCATGATTTTGAGATCCATTTTTTTATCCATTTCCATTTTGATGGAGATCAATTGGAAGGCAGCTGGAAAAAAAAGTAATTGGCTCTGTTGGGAGCACTACTTTGTCAATGAATATGAAATTGTCTTTGTATTAGTCTTTATATTTAATAAAGAGTGATCTTTGGTTTGTACTTGGAAGGAAATTCACTTTGGGAAATTATATTTAGGCTGCAGCTTTTGTTATGTTGTAATAATACGTTAAAAGCTGCATAATCATTTTTTAGGCAATGGATATATATTCTACTAAACGTACGATGGGATGTTTGAGATTTACTTTAAATAAAGATGACTTATTTTCTATGAGGTAAAGTTGACGCCCTTTTCAGTTTGTACTAGCAGTGTAAAAAGGTGTTACTGTGTTGTATTGGTTATTCCCTTGAGTCATTTTGACAGCTAAAATTATGGCTATACCTGTTGCTTGTTTTTATCAAGTCCTTTTGGTGGTGGAATTAGCTTTTTGTCCAGTACTTTAGTAATATGTGGAAGAATTCAGTTTCTTCATGAATGGCGTACACTAGCATGTTCGATTCTTTGTCTTTGGGTATAACCTACTAGGGAAACATAAGACTGTCACTGCATTCTATAGCAGCTCTATATGTCAGTCTGACAGCAGTTTGGTTCATGTTGGATATGTTGGATAGTGTCAATGCAGGCTATTATAAGCCATTGCCAGATGCCTTATCTTTACATTTTTTAAGATGTCAGAAGATGGTCAAACCTGAAATAGATTAAACTGCCATAGATTGGGAGTCTCGCCAGTTTCCCAGCCATCTCCTGTGTGATTGCACGCATCACAACCAAAATAAATCACAAAGGATCCCAACGTGCTGTTTGTATAGGAGGTGACCCACTTCATCCTCCATTGATGTGCAGCGCCTATCTCGATGATGTGCAACATCCATTTAAGCAATCTGTTGTCACCTGGTTGTAATGTGAAGGGTTCTTCCATTGGAATGCATGACTTCCAGCGGTGAGAACTGGGGATTTGAAATAATGACTGTACTGCAGAGACCCTTCTTTTAGGGTCTGCTTTCTGATCTTGCTCCTGCTTCTCTTTCCCCCACTTATTCTCTTCATAGCCATGTGATGAGTCCCCAGGACGATTCGGGGGCTGTTGTTGCTTATGTATTGAAATGAAGAGCCGTTGCAAACGCGAGCAGCTTTGGGAATCTGAAATCTCATCCAGCCGCTTCTCCAAAGAGCACAGAATAGGCGTCTCACCCCCCCCCCCCCCCCCCCGTGAAAGACCAGCGTGGAGTCTCCTGACCTGTGCCAGGGTGGTCTCCTGCTCGCAGCCCCCCCTCCCTTTGTGAAGCCTGTTCCCGATCCACACAAAGCTTTGTGTAACGAAATGTTTCCTATTTTCTATTCTCTGTTAATTCCCTTTTATTTTTCAATTGTGACCCTGTGTCCTTGTTTTCCTACCAAGTCTGAAGTATTCCCCTGGGTTGAATCTGTCACTACCCTTAGGATATTATACACTTGGATCAAATCTCCTCTCAATCTCTTTTTTTTTCCCTTAGACTGAAGAGATTTAACTGCTTTAACCCGTCAGTGTATGACAATCCCCTGAGAACAGGAATCATTCTGCCTGCTTTTCCTTGGATTCTTTCAAAGATTGCACAGTCCTTTTTGTGATATGGTAACCAAAACCAAACACAGCCTTTCTAAATTAATCTGGCTGAAGTATTGTAATGCTTGACCTTCCCTTGATTTAAGTTCCATATCTTAAACCCAACCATTCTGTTTGCTTTTATATTGTTTCCCTGCATTGTCCTGATGTGGACATAGACATTTTATTCAATCGCTTCCATACGTAGAATCACCCATGTGATACGTGCTGTGCAAGTTAATAATTCCTGTATTATTTTGCACTTATATCAAATTCAATTTTCAATCCAATTTCATTGTATAGTTGATTTCCACATTGGAATGGTCCATAGACCACACCCTTCTGAATGGATTACTAAATTTACAAGGCTTCTATGCCATCTACCTGGCAAATGTGTATACCATTATTTGCGTTATTTGGATACCGTGTGTAACCTGCATAAAGACCATGAACCTGTAGTCTCCAAAAAGTAAAGTTTAGGCTTAAATGTTGTATTTTGAATCAAATTTAATTGAAGCCTAAATGAAACAGTGTTTGAAATTTTACCTTTTAGCTGGTGGCCAAAGTCCCATCCAGGGTGTGTTTGTGTTTTGTGCCCTGTGCTTCTAGAGTAGGCTCTGAATTTCTGTGGTGCTTGTGGCTTTCTGATAATGGTTGAATGGATTGTATCTGCCATTGCAGGGTCAGTTTTTGCTGTCAGACCTGAATATCTTATGAGTCATGTTACTTTTCCAAATGTTTGTTTTCATTAATGTAGACCATTTTGTTACCAAGGAGATGGTAGCCTTTTCTCTCTTCGGGGAGTGTTATGAAAAATGCTTCTTCTTGGGATATTCTAAAACCTTTTAAGGTGGAAACTGCTCATTTTATGAAAGGATGCCTTTCTGGAAAGTTTGTTAGGACATAACTAGAGGTATATGTCCTGAAATAATACATGAATCCCCTGCCAGCCTTGAGAGTAATGTTCCTGAAAACCCTCTCAGTAGGTACATCTCAAAATTAACACAAAACACCAGAGTAGTGAAATGCTATAGACCGTATGATGGTGATGCTATAGATCTAATGACAAAACACACTATCAATGCCATATCCAAAAAATTAATAGTTAAATGGTAGAAAAATGTTTTTTTTGTATTCTGACTGATCAGCATATACTTCCAAAATAGACCAGTTTCGTCAGTTTTGAAGACCTGATTAGCCAAATAGCTGATTTCTGAAGACGGCTCTTTCAGTTCGGCAGGAAAGCTGCATTCTGCCTCCCCTGCTAAGTTCCCGTTATGTAGACTGTAATACTTATTGAGCCACCCTTTGCTGGCAAGAAACCCTTTCCTGAACTTTCAACAAGATGATTGTAAATTCTCTTTGCTTTATTATGTATTAGATGTGTACTCCGAGACATTTTATTCTCTTTGGTCTTCCATCCAAATGGTCAAAGCCACTTCCATTTTGTTTCAAGGCTCAGTTCACATGGAGTGTATGAAAGGTTTTCCGAAGATCATGTAACCCTGGCAACATTTGCACTGCTAACAGAGCCTCGTTGTTCTTTCCTGTGCAAAACGTCGATTCATTAACACCAAATACTCTAAACTGCACTACTGCTTTGTCTGTCTCACAAATAGTCAAGAGCTCTTATTTTATCCACGAGACACATCGCTGATCTTT